CCGGGGCTCAAAGAACTATCGGCTCGGGTTGTGTTTAAGGGAAGGAGAGAGGCAGCGATGATGAGAGGAGGAGAGAGGAAGGGAGGGGGGCTTCTGTGTCTGGCTGTGACTGAATCCTTAGCATGTGTATGCATGCACACAAGGTCATCCGCCGCATGTGTTGCAGTGTGTGTTGTACATCACGCAGATGGCAGGCTTGACCGTGTCCCGACGACAGAGCCGGCAGATGGGAGAGGAAGAGAGCGTGTGGGTCGGAGGAAGTGTCGTGTGCCTCGGAAATGTCTTGAGAGCACTCGCTTGCTGGATTAGTCAGCCCAACATGCGCACACGGAGTGGACGTGAGAGTGTGTCCATCAGCTTCACTTCTCAAATGATGTTATGTGCACACACATGCACAACACACATGACTGTTAATCAAACCCAAGCACTTAGCTACTGTGAATTAGAGGAACAAAAACCTACTGTTTTAGGTTTTAGGTGTGAACTGCCAATATACATATATGTGTGTGTGTGTGTCTTATGTGTGTGTGTGTCTTATCTCACTCAGCCTTATAACCTGAATCAGTCACTCTCTGCTCTTTGAATTGAGAAAGCTCCTCGGATGAGGAGCGAAACGTCTTCTGTTACAAATAAAGTCCAGTTGTTTTTGTATTGAACGCTTTTTGAATTCATCATGTCCTGGATGACTGAGAATCTTCACCAGCACTTAGCTACTCATTAATGCTTTCTTTGCACCCCGCCCCCCCCACCACCATCACCACCTTTATCACCCCGCCCACCCCTCACATCAACACTTGCCTGTTGACGTGAGCCGTGTAACAATCCTCCCTGTTTCCATGACAACCACCTGCTGCTGTCCTCTCCTCATGTGTCTCCCATCCTCCCCTCCCTTCCAGTTTACCCCCCCCCCCCCACCACACACACACACACACTCTCTATACACTGTTGGTATTTCAAGGTCAAAGAGGGGCAGAGGCAGATGGTGCAAAGAGACGATATCATGGTGTAAAGTAGAGGAGAGGAGACTGATAACATCAGGAGTAAAGGTGGCTAAATATACAGTAAATGTTTTTTTACTCTTCAAATCTTAGTTCACCATGCTCTCACGAGCATGCACACCTCATAACCCCAGTCTGTGTCAGCCTTGAGCCGAAATGGCCGACAACAGGTTGTGTTCTGCTGCAGCCACAAGAATGGGGGCCCACCACCTCCGCCATGGCCCCCGCTCCTCCTCCTGCTGCTGCTGTTGTTGTGGCGAGACTCATCTTCCCCGCTGCTTGAGCTGAAAATGAGACGAGAGCGGGGCAGCCGACCAGAACGTGTTTGAGCTCGATAACTTGGAGGAGGACCGGATGAGCCGCGATGAGCAGCGTCCAAATGAAATCCTGCACGGCTCCACGAGGCACCGTAAATTACCTGGCTGCCATGTTTTGTTTTTGTTTATTCCTGAGCTGTTATGACCTTTATATGATGTCAGGTAAACAAAACTCAGTGAGGTTAGTTTTGTTTATGAGGAATGAACAATCATAAAAAGTGTGGTTCATGATTCTCTTTACTCATTACGTCTAATCTATCACTTTTTAGCACTGTTTCTTTTTAAATAGGTTTTTAATAATATTCTATTCACCATGTTAAAGCATCCATTTGTGATAATAATCATAATAAAACCAATTGGGTGAGACAAACATAAGCGTTGTTTTACATCCTCTCTTTAAACTAAGTGGGTGCTTTTCTTTTGGATTACATCATCTCTACATCATCTCATCTATTCAATTCAATTCAGTTTATTTATATAGCACCATTTCACAACAGAAGTTGTCTCAGGGCACTGAACACAAACATTCATATATAAAGTTAGATACCCAACATCTTTTCTTGGCTGCAGGTTCCTCAACAAGAACTTGATTGGTCTCATTTGACATTCTCTGTTGCACTTTTGACATCATAATCAAAAATTACTGAAAAAATTAAAGTGATAAAATAGTTTACATTTTAAATAACATATTGGGGGCCGGGCAGCACGGTGGCGCAACTGGTAGAGCTGCTGCCTCTCAGCGAGCAGGTCCCCGGTTCAAACCCCGGTCCAGGGGCCTTTCTGGGTGGAGTTTGCATGTTCTCTCCGTGCATGCGTGGGTTTTCTCCGGGTACTCCGGTTTCCTCCCACAGACCAAAAACATGCATGTTAGGCTGATTGGTAACTCTACATTGTCCCTAGGGGTGAGTGAGGGAGTGAATGATTGTTTGTCTCGTTTGTCTCTATGTGGCCCTGTGATGGACTTGCGACCCGTCCAGGGTGTACCCCGCCCCTCGCACAGTGATTGCTGGACATGGGCACCAGCGACTCCCGTGACCCAAAATGGAATAAACGGGTAAAGATAATGGATGGATGGATATTGGGGGCCAGATAAGATGTCAACGAGGGCCCCATTTGGCCCTCGGGACTTGAGTTTGACACATATGTGCTAAAGGTTTCTTTCTCATGAGGGAGTTTCTTTCTTTCCACTGTTGCCTTCATGCTTGCCAAAGATTAGATTTCTGTGATGAAGTTAAATTTAAAGCCGTCTGCTCCTCAGATAAATATTGTTATTAACTTACTAGAGTTAATGTAGATTCTGAAACTGGCCCTTAGTTTGAAAAAGGTTTTAATTTTGGCCCTCTTTTGTAAGTGAGTTTGACACCCCTTCTTTAGCAGAACCAGGTTCAGGACAAGCGGCCATCTGCTTTGACCGGTTGGGTTTGGTAGGAACAGATACACAATGGCAGGTCAAGAATAACATGTTTAGATAGAAATAGTATCTAATGAAAACTATTCAATTTTCATTTAAGGAAATGAGGTCAGTTTATCCTCTAGTTGTCATGATTCTGTCCCAGTCGGCCATGTTCTGCCTTTGTATTCATGCCTCAGCCTCTGAGTTGCCTGTCACCCATCCCTGAGTTCTCCCTGCTCTGCTCACTCTAGGCCACGACTCCTTGTTTTCCCTGCTGCAATTACTCCTCATGACTTCCACCTGCTCATAGTTCTACTTAAGCCACAGCTCTTCAGTCATCCAGTGCCAGATTATTGAAAGCCTTGTGTGAGTAAATGTCCAGCGTTTATGCCACAGCCTTGCCTGTCATTCATGTTTTGATACCATGCCTGTCTTCTGGATTCTTCACCTTGCTTTGCCTTTGCCTGTTCTGGACTCTGAAATCTGACCACGATACCGACCCAGTTTCTGATTATCCTGACTACGCCTCCTGGATTATCCTCTGGATTTGGATTCTGATCTCTGACCAACGGTTCTTGACCCAAGCCTGCTCCACTGGACCTTCTCCCTGGATTTTCCCCAAAGCTGCACTCTGTGTGCTCACTCTCTGCTGCTGCCTGTTCACAGTTCTTGGCGTCATCCTCCAGAACCAACAGAAGGACTACACCTTGCTCTTGACTGTGAAGGTTGGTGACTCTGACTAGTATAATCATCATTCCCTGAACCTTCACAGTCTTGCCCAGATCTCTAACCCACCTATCTCTACAGATCTACCCTGGACCCAGAACCAGACTTCCTCCTAAGGTCGTCTAGGTTTTCATATTTTTAAGACATGCTTGTAGTCTGAGTCATTGGGTTTCATGGACAAATATATTTGTGTATCATCAGCATAACAATGAAAATTTATCATGCTGTTTAATAACTTTACCTAATGGAAGCTAATATAAGGTAAAGAGTATTGTTCCAAACACTGAACCCTGAGAGGAACTCCATGACTAACTTTGGTGGATGATGAAGATTCATTATTTACATTTACAAATTGGAATCTTTCAAATAGATATGATTTAAACTGATTTAGAGCCGTTCCTGGAATTCCAATATCATATTCAAGTCTCGGGCAGCACGGTGGTGCAACTGGTAGAGCTGCTGACTCTCAGTAAGCAGGTTCCCGGTTCAAATCCCAGTCCAGAGGCCTTTCTGGGTGGATTTTGCATGTTCTGTCTGTGCATGTGTGGGTTTTCTCCAGGTTCTCTGGTTTCCTCCCACTGATCAAAAACATGCTTGTTAGGCTGATTGGTAACTCTAAATTGTCTCTAGCTGTGAGTGAGAGAGTGAATGGTTGTTTGTCTCTATGTTGCCCTGTGATGGACTGGAGACCTGTCTAGGGTGTACCCTGCCCCTTGTACAGTGATTGCTGGACATGGGCACCAGTGACCCTCGTGACCCAAAAATGGAAGAAGTGGGTAAAAGATAATAGATGGATGGATATTCACTTCTCTGTAGTAGAATATTGTGATTAGCTGTATCAAATGCAGCACTGGGGTCTAACAAGACCAGTGTAGACACCTGTCCATTGTCAGACACCATGAGAATATCATTAGTAATGTTCACCATTGCAGTTTCAGTGCTATGGTGAGTTCTAAAACCTGACTGAAACTCTTCAAACGGATTATTTCTTAGTAGATGTTCACCCAACTGACCTGCAACTATGTTCTCTAGAAATTTTGACGTTAGATTAGATATAGATCTATAATTAACTAGGATTCCTGAGTCAAGGTTATGTTTTTTTAAGTAAAGGTTTTAATTACAGCAATTTTAAAGCTCTGTGGTGCGTAACCATTTATTAGAGACAAATTAAGCAGATCCAAGATGTTATTAATTAAGGGAAATAGGTCTTTAAATAGCCTGGTTGGGATGGGATCTAGCAAACATGTGGATGGTTTGGATGGAACTATTATTTTTGACAATTCATGGAGCTCAACAGAACAAAAACTGTCGAAACATAAAAAGTTCTAGTGACATTTTTAAAGCTGTCTCATCTGACACAGAACCACAGGCAATAGTAGGAATATTGGTTTGATTTTTTTCCCTAATTGAAATAATTTTATTTATAAATAATTTCATGAAGTCATGACTTCTTGTAGTTGTAGGGATTCATGAATCAACAGAGATATGATTTTTCATTAGACTCGCTATGGTACTGTCTGTCTTCTCTTTTAATCCTAAAGAGATAGTTCAGATCTTTTGAAGTGAGGAAAAGGCTAGTTACTATAAAATTGGACCTGTAGCACTTTAAATGACCCCAGGTCAGAGAAATACAGCTTTATTCTTAACAGACTGATAAGCTAACATCTGAGGGGAGCCAAGACCAAAAAAGTTCATTTGAAAACAACGCCAGTTTAAAAACAATTTATGTTAACACTTTTTTTTTTTTGCTGCACATTGGTGCATCCTTCCTGCTTGTTGTTGTTCACTGGACCAGTGAAAATGAATGAATATAAAAACGCTAAGCTAGCAGAGACAGTGGCATGCATTTCTGTATCTAAAGCCTGTTTCTTCAGATGGTTTTCAGATAATAACCTTGGCATTTGTACGGAAAGCAAAGTAAGAGTTTCATGAAATAACAATTTCAACAACTAAATGATAAACATGAAATAGGCAACAGTTCTGAATGATAAAGCGGAAACTGAGATTAGTGCTTGTTAAGACTGCTTTCCCTGCTTTTGAACAGTTTGCTGTGCTTTTGGATGTGTAGAAGTAAAAGATGAAATACACATGCATAAATTGCTGCAAGCTGTTTTTGGATGTTGGAGAAGCGACTGGTAGGTGGATGAAAGTGGGGGTTGGGTGGCGGATGAATATCCAAAGAAAAATAATTTAATTACCATCAAATTAGAAGCATGCGTGTGCCTTAAATGTACATCCCTACAATCTGTTGTGTTCTTGGCTATGCTTGGGCTGGTCAAGCTGGTTAGCTTGTAGTTACAAGCGCAACAGCTAAAATATCAAGAGTTCCTCACTTTTCTTGTCATTCTGTGTTCGTTTGTTTCTTCTTCCTGTCCTCTCAAACCCAAGCTGGTTGAAGCAAATGGCTGCTCATCCTGAGCCTGGTTCTGCTGGAGGTTTCTTCCTGTTATGAGGGAGTTTTTTCTTTCCACTTTTGCCTTTGTGCTTGCTCAGGATGGGAGACTGTGATGAAGTGAAGTTTCAACACAGTCTGCTGGCTTCCTTAGATAGATCACTTTTATTAATTAGCTTTTATAATGTGAATGCTTCTGTTCAGTGCCCTGAGATGACATCAGTTGTGACTTGGAGCTATAGAAATAAACTGAATTGAAGTGAATTGAATTTCCATTAAACCCCTCTTCATAAGGTCAAACTATCCCTTTAACATAGGTTCTGTAAATTCACATTTTTAGAAGTCCTATGACTATTAATTAATGTCTATTTTTGGCAGTTATTTGTTGGGTGTGCTCAGAACAAACTATGTTTTTTTTAATAGCTGTTGAGGAAAAAGTTGGAGTAGTGACCTTGCTTGCCCCTGGGAGAAGATGAAGCTTGACATATGGATCAGCCAGTCCATTGGAGTCCATGGCCTTCAGACCCTGTGGGCACACACACAAACACATACACACATCGTATCAAAGGTGACATCACTGGGCCTCGAAGCAACTCACATAAGTGACAGGGTCAGGAAAAGGCAGAAGAGATGACAGAACCGGTCCTACTGTAGTTCATTTGACTTTAGGCTCTTTGTTTCTTTTCTGTTCTTGTGTTTCAGACCCTCCACAACCGAATTTGTGCTCTCCTCTAAGAAACTCTCCAGTAGGATTTACATAATTAACATCCTGCGACAGCATGAATCATGAAGTGGAAGGCTGGCGCTCCTGTGCATATGTTTGTAAGAGCAGCAACATTTCACCATCTTATTGTCTCGAGCAGATGAGCTGATGAACGTGTTCCTCTGTAAAACGTTGTGAGACAGCTGTGTGACTGACGCTGACGTCGAACAACCATTTTCAAGGATGGTTATGCAACAAAGGCAGATGACGAGTTTATCCAGAGAGCATACTGGACGTACCTTTGCCTTGACAATAGTACAATGAAGGCAGTTGTTCTCTTGATCAAAGAGCAGCGTGAACTCCAGGGTTCCCAGGTAGGCTGAGGAGAAACAACAACACAAACAGAGAGATTACTGTCAGTAAGAGGCACAAACAACCAAACACAGGCACTTCCAATAGCTCTGAGTCATTTCTGCAGCAGATGGCCTCTTAAAAACATAACGCTGCCTTATATGAATTGATCTGTCTGGTTTGATTACTGTTTGGGTCTGAGCAGAGAGTCCCACTATTGCAGCATTGTGTAATAAATCATTGAGACCGCTTCATCACATAAAGTGGGAGTGACAAACAATGTTGGGGAAAAAGCTTGACTCCACAATTACTCTGCCAGCAAACTGAAACTGAGCAAAACAAGACGACTCTCCACCCCCGAGGTGCAGAACTGGCAGAGTTGTTTTGTTATGCTTATTCATTTTCTCAGGGTTAAACCAGTAGCGTAGTCAGAAATAAGTTTAAAGGGTGGTCCCAGTCCCTGCCAGGACCCCCCACCCCCCACCCCCAATAAAAAACTTTTTGTTCTTTCCACATGGCGAAACTTTGCCCTCTCCTCTGAACTCACTGTCCTCGTCGTCAGAGTCGAACACCTCCTCCCTGTCTCCGTCGTTCTCCACTCTCCTCTCCCCATCCTTGTAGCCTACGCCCGTCTCCCCATTGAACGTCTCCTCCTTCAGGATCTTCTTCTCCCTGGGGGGTGGCGGCGTGCAGGGGTAGTCGTGGAAGCGGGGGAAGAAGTCTGATATCTGTGGGATGGGGAGGATTGGCCCCGGGCACACGTTGATGGCAAAGTGCTCCTGCATAGAGATCTTGACCGGCGACGGCGGAGGAGGAGCGACAGAATGGGGCATCGCCGAGGGGGAGGTGGCAGCCGAGGAAGGGGCAGAGGGGGAGGCAGGGGGGATGGCAAGGTGGGAGGTAGAAGGTGGTGGAGGGGGCTTTGAGACGCTCATCTGGACTGTCAAATTGTACTTAGAAATGGAAAATGAAAGGGTAAGGCAACGGGGGAGGGAGCAGGTGGAGACGAACAAAAAGGGGGAAGAATTAGTCAGGATCAAAAAGCAACAGAGTCAGATCACAAAGTTCCTGTGAGTTTGCAGCTTCTTTTTGTAATCTGTTTGCACAGCTGCAGCACTTCTCTCCAGGCAATATGCTAAAATTCTCAACCCATCCAAAAGCCTCCTGGAGAAAGCCAGCTCTGTTTTCAGCCCGTGATGCAGTCTCAAAAAGCCAGAATAGAATTTTGCCAGAACCTTTTGGCACTTAAAGTGTGACTCACACGTTCGTGTCAACACACCGAGTGCACGCTCCGAGTGAATATTCAAACACAGTACGAACAAATCATGTCACTTGTGCATCCACACTTCACTCTAATCACACTCCTATATTTCTCTTTCACTCATCTCAAATTCATTTGCAAAAAACCACCATGAGCAATATTTACATAATACTATTAGAGGCTTTCATAGTCCTGCACTTACTGACGCAAAATACCAGCTACTAAACTCACTGCTATTAGGGCCCATTCTTCTCACTGGGATTAAAGAGCCTCTTCATGGATGAGTTATGTTCTGAATCAAGGTAAATGCAACCAGTCGTGTGAGGAGACACATCACCCATCACACGTCTAGATGCTGCATATGCTGGTCACTCCTATTAAGAGACAACTGGTGGCCTGTGGACCTTGTTGTTAACATAGTCAGGTTTCTGTGGTATTTATAGCTCTCGGTTACCATCAAGAGTAGATTCAAATGAAAGATCTACCATGCCCTAAAGGAATGCTCCTCACCAGATCATCTTATGCTGAGAAATGATGGAGTTAAAGCTGTTTGGATTCAAACTTAAAAACAATTTAATGTGAAAATTTGTGTGAAAGCGTATGTGATCTGTTACTGTTGAGTTGTGCATGACTCTCAGCTATACCCAGCAAGATTGAAAATCAGTATCTTATAGTGCCCATGACATCACATGTTTGTTATACTCATGAATGCATGCTTTGAAAGATAACAATAATTATATATTGCAAACCATTCCAGTTTCCCCCCACGGACCAAAAACATGCATGTTAGGCTGATTGGTAACTCTAAATTGTCTCTAGGTGTGAGTGAGAGAGTGAATGGTTGTTTGTCTCATTTGTCTCTATATGTCCCTGTGATGGACTGGAGACCTGTCCAGGATGTTGTCCCCCACCTCTCACACAGTGATGGCTGGACATGGACACCAGTGATCTGCATGACCCGAAAAAGAAAGAAAGCGCTATGTGTTGTCATCAATGTATGTTTTTATACAATGACAAAAGTAGTTTTCTGCATTTAACCCGTCACACATGAGATACACCCAGGTGGAGCTGTGGGCAGCTATGTAGGTGCCTGGGGAGCAATTAGGGATTAGGTGTCTTACTCAAGGACACCACATGTAGGCATGATGGGGAGTTGAACCTGTGACTTCCTTGTCCTAAATTGGCGTCTCTACCTCTACACAACAGCAGCCCCTAAGGAAGAAGCAGGTAAAAGAGGATGGATGGATGGACCCATTGCAAAAAAAAAAAAATCATGCCTCTGAGATGAACAGTTGTTGAGATATTCACATGCACAGTAACAGGAAGTGATGTCAAAGGGCAACACTAGTGTTCACGGCAGGCACGCTAATTAACTGTGGCAGCCATCTTGAATTAGGTTGACTCCATAGGGTATTTATTAAGCTGTCGATAATCAATAAATAACTTCTAAAAGTTTTATTGGAGTCTGTCCAGTGGGCCATGAAATGGTTTGCTAACATGCCAACAGGGTTGACTAACAGTTGATAATAAAGTTTTAGACAGAGATGTTTCGCAAAATGTTCAGGACGATGCTCAGCTACTACCACACCAGGTTTTAGCTCAACATCTGACAAATTGGCTGAGTTGCAGCCATTTGTGTGTTTTCCAAGGTTACCTGGCTGTGACAGCCATTTTGAATTGGGTTGACTCCAAATGTTACTCAGTAAACATTCTTCTTCTTCTCCTTCTTTCGGCTTTTCCCTCTTCAGGGTGTCCACAGCAAGTCATCCTCCTCCATCTCACTCTGTCCTCTGCATCCTCTGTCTCACTCCAACTACCTCCATGTCTTCACTAACTGCATCCATATATCTCCTCTTTGTCTTTTTCCTGGTAGCTGCATTTCTAACATCTTTCTACCAATATACCCACTGTCCCTCCTCTGGACATGTCTAAACCATCTCAGTCTGGCCTCTCTAACTTTATCTCCCAGTTGTTCAACCTGTGCTGTACCTCTGATGATCTCATTCCTAATCTTATCCAGCCTTGACACTCTGAAGGAGAACCTCAACATCTTCATTTCTGCCACTTCCAGTTCTTTCTCCTGTCGTTTTATCAATGCCAATGTCTCCAGACCATACAACATAGCTGGTCTCACCACTGTCTTGTAAACTTTTCCTTTGACCATTGCTGACACCCTTTTGCCACAAATCACTCCTGAAACTTTTCTCCATCCACTCCATCCAGCCTGGACTCTCTTCTTCACCTCTTTACCACACTCCCCATTTTCCAGAATAGTGGACCCCAAGTTCTTGAAGTCCTGCACCTTTGTGACCTCTGCTCCTTGTAACCTCACTGTTCCACCGGCCTCCCTCTCATTCACACACGTACTCTGTCTTACTACGACTGACTTTCATTTATCTTCTTTCAAGTGCATACCTCCACCTCTCCAAGTTCTCTTCCACCTGTTCCCTGTTCTCACCACAGATCACAATGTCATCTGCAAACATCATAGTCCACAGGGATTCATGCCCTATCTATTAGTTGATACTTGATAAGCATCCAATAATTATTTTCCGAAAATTAAATTTAAATTGATTCAGTGATTTGTGATATACAACAGTTAAAACATTATCTCTCTGCCATTGCCTTGGGCAGTAGGCGACAATAAAACCAAGAGACTACGAATTCTGGTCAACCCAGTAGGTATGATCCAAACCCAGCTGAATTTCATCTCAGTGCATCAGCTGTTATTTGCTAAGAGTCTGCTCCTCTAGCTACCGGGAACAATCTCACTTTTCTTCACAAACATCCACCTACTTTTTATATTTCCAGACATTGCAGGTGGACACATCGTGACACACTGGGATCTACCTTCACCAGAACCACGTGTAGCCCTGGCAGGTGTTAGCACAATTTATAACCATTACCTAATGGTATTTATGTTTTGCAGGTGTTACCTGGTCTGGTTACATGGTCTCAATTATTAGCCTCTTTGGAGCTCTATGTCTTGTACATTAGAAAAAGGTTGGGTGAAAACTCAGGTCAAACATGGTGTTTATTGCAGATTAATCTGCCTCTAATTGAAAAAGTCAGAAAAGGATAAGTTGCCCTGCATGCTCATAAAGAAATTATGGTGAAAACAGGTAATGACGTTTTAAAAAAAGATCCTATCCTCCATTGTTATGATAGTAATTTCATAAGAACTACCAAGAAGATGATGACAACATCATTTTACAAAATATTAAAGATTTTATTGTATTTTTTTCTGTTTAATACTGTTTTGTTCTTTAAAATGAACAAAACATAGATAAGAAAATGGACATATTAGCACAAACACATAATAATGCAGTTTTTTGAACAAACTGCAAGTTTTTTGACTACTATCGTTATGCATGGGTGCTGTTTTTAGTACACCTGTCAAAAAACAAAATAATCTTGTATATGTTTCTGTCATTGTTGCAGTTTCTTTAGGAAGGCATCACAGTGCAGGGTCAGGCCACAGCAGAGAAACACCTATTCTGCCAGAACATGTGCCCACCTGTCCATGTTAATCCACCAGACAGGTGAAACGAGACCAACACAGGTATCTCTGACCCGCAGAGCCACAGCGTGCCCATAATTTATGCTCCATCAGAGGGAATTGTGGCAAGCTAAGTCTTTGTCATGTAAGGACACTCATTTTTAAAATAAATATAAGAAATATAAACAATATAAACAAACAAATATCAGAAATAGTCAATTGTAGTCAACTGTTTTGATGAATGTGACAAATTGTGTTCAGAATGATGTTTTGATGTCTTAGTTCAGCTCAATACTTATAAGAAACAGTTTGTTGACAAGATTTGTCTGTCTGTTAGCAAAATATCCCATGAACCACTGGATTAATATGAAAGCAATCAATGGGTTTCCATTTACAAGAGATCAACCCAATTCAACCCGTCAAGCAAAGCAGTCGTAGCAAATATAAAACGACGATAACTAGGTCAATTTAGATATTCAGATCACATGGTGGTAGTTGAGAGTTGTCCCCAACACGTTCCCTGACTGTTGAACAAAGACATTTCTTTGCTACCAACTTCACCATGAAAGACACGGCAGGAAATGTGCATTCCATTAACATATACTCCTTTTTCTTATTAATGTAAAAAGAGTTAATTTGTCTTAAATAATTAGCAGTGTATGAGTAAAAATCAAAACAAACAGTAACTTACATCATTAGTTGTCTCGTTCTCTCCCCTCTTCGTGTCTCCATTCAATAAATAATAGCTAATACTTCTGGAATTGTACTGTTTGCCTGAAATGCTGATTCCCAGTAATCACTGCAATTAATGACTTTGTCCAGCCTCGTGACGACTTATTTCAACACATATCAATTTATCACATAATGTCCCGTTTGAAAAGGCTTTGAGGGAAGATTTGCATTCAAAGAGTTCATATCACTCTCTGACCTCCAATCAGCTGAACAAACTCGTTTTGTGGATTTCTGGAAGCAATGTTAGCGCTCTTTTTCTGTACGTTACACACGAGAACCTGCCCCTTTGTGGCAACTGTACTAACCACTACATCAAAATGTAGTACACTATGTTTACTGCATTTACACGTGTTATAGAGTTACAATAATAAGTCATACTTCACACTAGCAAGGCTGAAAATACCCAATACCTGATTTTTTAAGTGTTTTAAATGATTGTGTTTCTGTCGGTTACCACATGCATGAACTGTTTGTAGTTTTTTCAAGTTTTTCTGATTTCTTCCAAGCCAAGCAAAGATTGGCATCAGAGACAAACAGTCATGCATTCAGAGTTAAACTTGGTTTTCAACATGCATCTCTGCTACCTGTCTTCAAAACTGAACACGCTGTCTTTGCTACACACGTTCCAGTAAATGGATACAAACACATGACGTGACATGACTCACCTTTTCCAACTACACTTTTCTTTGGCACAATAACACACACGTGAACAACAACACAAAGAGCCCAAACTGCCTGTTCCCATTCAGTCCATCTTACATAACTGCACCCAGATCCTCAGCTTGCATCCGTCCACATGCATGTTGCCTGTAAACTTACTCAGGTCAATCCTTCCCTCTCGAAGATGCTCCAACACGTGTGGACACATTTCACACACGCACACACTCACGGATACAGCTCTCCACCTACCCAGGGACAGTCTTCATCTGTGCCAGCACTCCATCTTGCCTGCTCTCACATCCTCTGTCTCTCAGTCTGTGGAGCATGTAGACCAGCTTTGAGTCAATATAACCCTCTGTACTTTCTCTCTATCCCGCCCGCTCGCTTTTTCCCTCCCTGTCTCTGTTCATCGTTTGCTCTCCTCTTCTTCTCCCCTTCATCCCTCCCTCCTCCTTCCCATCCCCAGTAGTTGTGACGTATCTGGTTAAAATCTTTCTCAGGCTGTGCACATGGCACCACTACCTCAGCAGAAAGGACATTTCTGAGAACCCCAGAAAAAACGGAGTTGGTGGGTGGTCAGGTGAGGGGCGGTGTGTGTCAGATGAGGTGTGTGTGGTGGATATTATGGGAGACAGCGATAAAGAAAGGCAGACGAGGAGACAGATGCAGAGTGACTCCAGCAGAGACAGAGGCAGACATGTGCCATGCATGATGAAAGGCAGCCTGGATGTCAACTCACACAACAGGAAATATTGCTCTGGGATAAAAAGAAAAAAACGAGACTGAGGGACAGAAGGGGGAAATTAAATTCTTTACATTGACTGAGCTGAGCTGCCAGCTATTAAATCCCAGTGCCGGGCTCCTTTGTGTTGGCCAATATCAGACAGATTTGTGTGAACTTGTTATTCGGCTGCATGTGTCCAACTGTAACAGCGTTGGTAGTAACGACTGCCAGCTGCCGCACCAACACAGTGAATCAAAGACAGCAACACGTTAGTGTCACAGAATTTAGGTCAGGAGAAAAATGTGCCCGACTGACTAAAAATGAGTGAAAGCAAGCAGTGCACTGATGTTCCTCGTCGCTGAAGGATTTTAATGAAGGTCAGTAGTTTTTGAGATGAGCTTTTCAAGTTTTTTCCTGAACTGGAGTTGATCAGGGACTGCGAGTAAACCTTATTGTTTTTGATGCAAGATGTTCAAGTGGGTAAGAGTTGCACTGTGGAGAAGAACAGAGGGAGGATTTTATGTTTTGTTGTTTGGCCGAGGAAGCGCAGAGTGATAGAGTGAAGCACCAGATGCAGTGGTGGAACCAGGGGGTGGCCAATGGTGGCTTTGCCACTCTAGATTAATCTTTGGACACCCCAGTTATTTATAGAGAAAACTATACTTTTAAGCAAAATAAAAACAAGAAAGAACAGTTTCCAATGCCATTTCCTAACGCTAGATGGGGTGGTCGGTTTACACACACACACATATATATATATGTATACGTATATATATATGTATATGATATATACATATATATATATAATGTATATATATTGGGGTTGAACGAGTATATCATTTTTAAACTCGACATTAACATAATAAAACCCGTGTAGAACTCGGGTATTTGATGACGCCATAGATCTCAAGATACAAAAATAAATAAATAAATAAAACCACCAAAAAAGGTAATTATTTACAAAAAAAGACCAACAAAACATTGGGAGCGTATATTATGCTCCTACCATTTATCATACTGCAAATAAGTCACAGGAAAAACTAAAATATTAGTTATCCTGATGCATGCTCAATAATCCAGGTAGAAAAATCCAAAAAAGTTCAATCTGGTCCTCTGGACATTCAAAAAAATAAAAAACAAAACAAAGCAAAAAAATGTAGAAACGTTTCGTCTTTCATCCGAGAGACTTCCTCAGTCTGAGGTGCTGTATTCAGCTCAGTCTCTTAAATAGCACCTTCTCAGAGTGGATCAACCAGTTTGCTGCTGACAACCAAAACCAGCTGATCACATGGTCAAGAAGGACCATCATCCTAACAATGGATCATTAACACAATGATGGCTGTTTACTAACTGTTTACTGTACTGTACTAGCTGTTTACAAACTATTAGTTATTATTATTAAACTGCAAACGTGAAGAAAATGCAGCACGTCAAAAACGAAATTTAAACCGAAACTGGTTCTGGTTCGGTGGATAGGACCCGGTGTTACACCATACTCTGTGACCTGCAACAGTGCAACACCGCCCCCTACGGTCATACATGGTCATATAATATGACGTCACTACGGATACTCGACATAACATTTTTAACCTCGATAGATGTCCTAGCAATCGATGTGTACAGTAGATTACTTGAGTACTCTGTTAATGCCCTAATATATATACCTGTATATATATATATATATATACACAAATGTGGCAATCTTGGATTTTGACGTAACAACCCAATTTTTGCAAGGAACCTTTTATGCCTAGATGTAGCCACACACCAAACTGGATGTTGGTACCTCATTTATTTTTCAAGTTAGTGAACTCACGACATGCATGGATGGCAGGTATTTCCAATTCCCCCCCTTTTCACGCTGACTGGTGACGCAGATCGTTAAAGTGTTTGTTCAAAATGCAGCAACATATCATAATGGTTGTGTATTTTAACTCCCAGAGTAGGCTGACTGAAAGCAAGAGTTACAAGACGACTCAGTAAAGTTGAGTGATTTATTTACAGAGAAGGATTCAGCGATGACACAGGTGAGATCTGCAGAAGAGGGAGGATGATGAGTAGTTCATTCATTGTTTAATGTAAAGAGTTATTTGTAGAATATTCTTCCTTACAGGTTTTTGCAGGTTTGTCAGTTTAGAGAGGAGGATGGAGAATTCTAGGGTGAGTATGGTGATGGAGGAGGTGAGCAGCAGGCAGGTAGGCGAGTGGCAGGACGGTCACAGGCTGATGATCAGTAAATGCAAGGAGTTCCAGGGTTCAAGACTTACTTGGAGGCACAAAAGAAATGGCAAATCTAAGATATGCTTTTCCAGGAATCAGGACTAGAAGCACAAGAAGATACAAGGTTAGTAGTAGTCAACACAGATTTGCAGATGGCTGTCTCACAATACCATTTGGTATCAAATGTTCCAGTGGTGAGAAGAGCAAAATGCAAGATGGTGGAGTGTAGGAAGGCAGCAGACAGTAACATCCATGTGAGGTTGACTGATTTACCACCCAAAACACAGGAGCTCAGTTTATGACAAAAACATCATCTCTACTGCTTCATCGGAGCTCAAAATTACCTCGTTACATTTGTGTTCTTGTGAACATGGCACCAAATGTTGGTTTTAATTGCACTCAGACTGAGGTAGACCTCTTACCTTGTACTTGTATTCCCACTTAAACACTGCAAGAAAGAATACTGCGTGCTGTAATGTGAAGGCTGGAACAAACAACCCATTTAAAAATGATTTTATTTTACATGATGGTAAAAATAATAACCGTAATCAGCAACAAGCAACTAAATTAACAGTTGCCCAGTAAAGAGGAGGGGCGGAGGCAGTCATATGGTAAACACATACATTTACTTTGAGCTTCTCGTTACCTCATCAATATTGTGTTAACAGACCATTACACAATTACCTTCATCCATTTTCTAAATGAACATGTGGGTAAATGACGTGAAGAGATAAATGGATATTCGGTCTGCCAATGCCAACCCATCAATCTATAAATAGGAGCTGTAGACGTGGGCCACATGTTAGTGATTCAAAACAGACGCACAAGTGCTCCTGAAGGACACTTTTGCCTTATTTCTGGTCACATGGGACAAAACATGAGAGTCCTCTCAGATCCTTGTGGAAAAGGTTTCCATAGAGCTGTTTTTCTCTTCAGTGAAACGGATGTGAGCTCAACCAACAGCTGAAGCTGCAGAGAACTGCGCTCACCTCCCAAACTCCTGAATAGAGACGTGACGTTGGCGAACGATCCGGATCGTGTGAACGGCTCTTTACAACAAATGATGAGAACTGAGTTGCAGGGAGTTAAGAGCTGTTCCTAGTTTTATTTTGCTATCCTTCTTGTAATTTCTTTACGTTTTCTTATTTAAATGCAGAGACAAACACTCCTTCGCCTTTTCATTGAGACGAAGGACATCGGGCCAAGGGGAGGAGTTTAAAGGGCCACATATCCCATCTTGAATGCTCTGCCTGCTGCTGGACAACAAACAGACACTTGAACAAAATGCAGGTTTAACTCATAAATCGTTAGCAAAGAATCACAAGTGTTACGTTCGTTTTGGCCGGGCTTGTTAAACAACAATAAAAAAGCATCTTTTCCTGCTTAACCAGGTCATTATCTCGACAGGGACACTGTCTGTCTTTTTAAGGTGTGCTGAATATGTCAACCTTAACTGATTGGTCTGCGTGCAGAGAGGTTGACGTGATCTTTTTTTTTGGGACATGAAAGAAAACTGTTGGAACAGAGCGTGCATGAGTAGGACCAACCGTCAGACGAGAAAACAATTCTCGCATTTAACTAGAAATAACATGTTTTGACAATAGATGAAACTGGAGCTACAGAACCAGCTTTATCTTCAGTGACACACTTTGGAAGCTTGCTTTACTTTGAGAGGATTTTTTTGTTGTTCTTGTTGTTGTTTTGTTTGTTTGCTTGTTTCATGAGCTCATTGACTCTAATTGTCCCTCGTCGAAGAGCCAGGAGGGGGAATTGGAAATACAGTCCATCTGTCTATCTGTCCTTGTTGTGCACAAGTCAACTTAAAAAAGTGATGTACCAATTTACATTTTGGTGTGCAGCTGCATCTAGTTGTAAGAAAGATTACTATTGGGTTGCCACATAAAAATCCAAAATGGTTGCCATCATATACCATATATATTTTTCAGCATATGTCACATTTTTTTGCACAGATTTGTCAGTCCTGCAACTTATATGCTGAAGTGACTTGCATACGTTTTTTTTCATACTCATAACGCAATTTTTGACTGATGCTTTAAATGTTCGTTCATACTGACATGAACCAGAGTAAATATTACCATTTGCAGCCGCTAGAGGCACAAGAGGGTCCTCTAGGCTTTTGACAGCTGCCGGTAGGTGTATATGTTGTTCCTGTACTGCTACCCTCTGCCAAACATTGACCAATAAAGTGCATTTATTAAGGAAAAAGTTAAACTGAGACACACCTTTGCTATAATGTCGAGCAAACAAATAATTGTTTTTAAGTGTTAATCTTGGTAAATTTTTAAGAACTGCAACAGCGAGTCATCCCATGCACACTCCCAAGGCCACCAATTTATTTTTGGCACCACACCGACCCATGTTTCCAGGGGGTCA